CTCTTGTAGTCAATGCATTCATAAACTTTCTCATTACATCAAGGCACAGCTGTACCAAAGACGGTGTCTTTATGAGAGGGAGAGGTGAACCAGCCAGTCACCTCTCCGTCCTACATGACTTTGTCAAGGCAAGTCACGGCTGTAACGTTTTCTTCCTTTTTGAGTTCCAAGCTTACCTGAACGCTAAAATTGGTGATGAATCATCACCTGGTAGAGTCAATGAAGGTGATAAAGATTAAACAGCATTTGGAAACTGAACTTCTTGGACAATCCTAGAGAATTCTTCCACCTCGATCTGAAGTACAGGCAGTATAAAAGAACCCGTATGGGTCCTCCTCCAACATTTTGGACAGTATACCACAACCATTACACTGCACTTAACATAAAATGCTAATAGATTAGAACACTGGAGTAAACATATTCCTTGATGTCCTTGGTCCTGGAGAAACGTTACTAAGAATTTATTGAGGTTTGTTATTTTGGGTTTGTTTGTTTTTTAAGCACTTGATCTTTGCTATTGTAATTGAAAAGCATGAAAACATGATCCCAAAGTTGCCTAAAAACTGAAAAAACAGAACACAACAGAGAAATAGAAATGTACTGTTATTTTCTTTCTCGTGATTCCAAGGGCACCCCTCATAATACACAAAGGCTAGAAACCATACTAAACTAAACGGATTTGAGCATCTGTTAGGTGTATTGTTATATATATCTATGTGTACATAGATATATATATGTATATGTATACACACACACACGCACACACACATATTATAGGTCAGGCTACATTTTTATAAAGCAGCTGTTGTTAAGCTAGTTCAACTTTCCTTGTTTATCAATGGCATGCAAAACAAGGGCAGATTTTTTTTTTGAAAGTTATACCTTTCCAGAGGGGCATGAGAGCACAGTGAAAGGGAGTCTAGTAAGAGAGCTGAAACTTAGGTTTTTGGGTGAAAAGTTCTCCGCACAATTTAACCTTGTGACATTTCTCCTAGAACCTCAGAGGTGTAAGAGATGCAAACGTTGTCAGGTTGCTTTCTAAAGGGGACCTAAGATTTTTCAACCCATTTCCCCATTACCAAATGAAATAGCTCTAATGCATTAAGTTTCAGGTCAGACTGTAAATCCCAAAGGGTAAAATAGGGCCTCCTATTTTATTCTGTGAGGAGAGCTTTGTTTATGTTTGATTTTATTTAAGTTATTCTGTGGTTTGAGGATGAGTAAGAGCTATTGTTTTGTATTTATTTATGTGCTTTTAGATTTTGACAATGCCCTCTAAAGCCTTGAAAAAGTACATAACTTTGGTTGGCGTTCTGTGCCATCAATTGCAAATAAATCCACTGTTAGGAAACTAATTCTCCATGTAATAAACCCTACAACAGCTCTGATTATTTCTTTAACTCAGCATTTTTCAAACCGCTAAAATGGCTCTCTTGGCTCTTAGCGGTTCCACTGGAGTGCTAGTGACGGGTTCCAGTCCCACTTGACTCCAGTGGATCCACTGATTTCCTTCCAAACACCCCTTTAAATGCCATTTCCCTTCCTATTGCTATTCTATTGTTGAAGCAGGATGGCACGGATGGGATAACACAGGCTTAGGTGACAACAAAACAAACACCTAGGACCTCAGGAGGCAGCACCTCAGTCCTTCTATTAGCCCCTACGTTTAACTTTCCCAGTTTTCAGTGTCTCTCCGTATTGAAATCTTTTGAGGCATCTGCTAATTCTTGCTTTTTTGTCCCTGCACTCCCTCTTCTTCTGGTCTATCCTTTTCAAAATGGGGGCACAGCAGCAGACTGTAGGTGAAGATTTGTCAATGAGTTACTGGGTGATGTTACACATGTTTTGGTATTTGAAGTCCCTTTGTTCATGTACTTTAATATTTTATTTTTCTGAGCAGCTGTTTTCAGTCAGCCATTTATAATGATGCCCGTTTATTTATGAGTTACTTCTGAATTTGTCAGTCCTCCTAAGAAAATTTCAACTCATCCCTTTGAGCATTCACAGCCAACACTACCTATGAATGTCTCAAACTGTTCGGTCTGTTGTTATTTGAGGGTATATTTCTGAGTAGAGTAAAACTGGCTGTGACGAGAAAGGGGTTCCTTTCAGAAGCATTGAACGTACAGGGTGTTACCAAGAAAATCAAACTTCTTCACGAAGACTTCTAACATGCCGCAAATCACTAAAAATAGATTTAAAAAGACAAAAGCTATTTCACATCATCTGTCATTGTCCAAATTTACATTCAGGAAAAGTGCTCATGAGATCTAACAACAGGCCTAAGTAGTAAAATGTCTTATTTATGTATTTAATATAAAAGGCCAAAGCACAGAGGAAATGACAGAAAAGGGTACAGAGATCTCTGAGGACAGTCAAAAAACCTTTAAATGCTTGCTTTTTTTTCTTTTGTTTTTAAATGTACTTCTGCCATTGTCTTCATAATAAAGGGCACTACTACATGTTAATCATTTACTCACACAATTTGTTGAATTACGGCTAAAGTTGATTGGTCAGATTTCAGCGTTTTTGCAAGACTGAGCCCCTGTAAACAAAAACTACAATTGTAGGAAAATCATTTAAGTTCTTCTAGTATATTTTAGCCTCAGGAAAAGTAATAAATGGTAACCCTCTAGAGATACTATTATCTATTACAGCAATATAATTCTCCTTCGCTAAGAACATCGCAGGAAACAACGCTTTTAAAACTAGGTGTTCGTAGAAAAACAGACATAAAGCTTGCTGAAGCTAAGGAAAATAGTTTGATTGACTTAAACAGTCTCTAATGAGACCTGTTGAGCAACAGTTTTGTGAGATGACAGAAAAGAAGATGAATCCCAAGACTACAACCATCCTTCTCTCATCTTTACATCTAACTCCACTTTCTCCTCACCACCTGTTTCAGCTTCTCAAGAACTGTAAAGCATACATCTACAAGCCTATGCTGCTCTAAGGAGAGTTATCTTTTTAGTCAATTGGTACAGTTTTCAGATCAAATGGGTATGAACCAATACATGCATTTTTCAGGTTCAGTCACCTGAAGCCTGTAAAATTCCTACCACTGAACCACTGACAACAAACAGAACACACGCGCAAGAATGGGAATCGACGTATGCAGCTGGGTTTGCATTTTAACACTGGAACACTTTCAGATGTCGTTCTGTGTGAAGCGAACAGATGCAGGCTGTAAAATTGTATTAATTTATTCATACTTGTGCAGACACAATTGTGTTCACTGACAGTTTTGCTGAAATAAAGGCAAGGAAGTACAATGGAAATAACATTTTGGCATAGAAGAAGTTTATATAAACAGTATTTTGGGGGCATGTCTACATGGTCTCCAGTAGATAATTACCTGCCAGATATGCCTATCTTCAAGGAAGGCAGCACACCCTGATATGAAAATCATAGATATGTTAGTGCGTATCCCACACCTAGGCTGAAAAGTTGCTTAAAAAGCAAAGATTACAGGATGAACACTATTGCGTGCAAACTTTCAGCTCAGAGCTTGCTTCCTTCAATCCAACTTGAAGCATGGAAAGAATTAGGGCCCAACTGTCTACATCTACCTGTGACAGATATGCCCTGCGCACCTAGATGCTGTCAAAATAAGCAAATTTAAGTGTTAAGCAAGCCAAGATTTTTAAGCAATATCTTTCATTAGACCGACTACATATTTAGAAAAAGTAGACAACTCCTATTACAAAATTTTTATCAAATCATTCAAAGGTTATGTCTATCCACAGCCATGCCTATGATGCAGCTTGGGTTCCAGTTTCCATATTACCTTTGAAATACATGAGAGAAAGCTTGAAATACACTCATAGACATCAGCCCAGGCATTTGGAATTAGAGGCATACTTTCAGACATCTCACAAGGAAGAATGGGTCAGTGGAGGCCATAAAGGAAAGTATAATACAGATTCAGTTTACCAGCAGTGGTTAGACTGAGGTTCTTCTAATGCAGATCCTCTTCCTCTTTTAACTCCCTAGTCACTAAGTTATTACAATCAGATTATTTGTACAAAAAAATTGGTTTCACTCCCCTTCTTTACTACTACTGGTAGCTTTGCACTGACAAAAAGTTACCAATAGATCTGGAGGTTGGCAGTGTCTCTGAGGGACAGTTTCCCATAACTCTGACAACATGAAACTAATACTTATAAACTAATACAAATAAAATCAACTTTAATCTTCAACAGAGTTAGGAACCAACAAGAAAAGAACACCAAAATGGTCTAATGCTCTGTATACCCTGTACTGCTGCACTCCGAGCCACTCAGAGATTGCCAGTGGTTTTCTTCCAAGTTATATGGCCATGTTCAGCAGATCTCAGGTTTCTCTATAAATATGCTCAAATCCCACTGACTTTGCTAGATTGTAAAAGTTAAGTACATACTAAACCCTAAAGCATATAAAGTGTTTTATAGTATTGGACCTTTTAGGACTTGTATGAATTATGGCTATGATTCACCATGGTATCAGAGCAGCCAAATCCAGGGTATAATAAAATAAGGCATTACTTCATGACTTATCTGTAAATGGAGAAAGGCTTCCCCTCCATCCCCCCATATTATATAGGACAAATCTGAAAATAGGACTTTCTGCGATTCTGTGATTTCTGAGGGCAAAAAAAAAAAAAGATCCAATTAAGCTGGTCAAAAGTGACCGCAGAAGTTCCTCTCTCCTTGGTTGTGCAATAAACAACACTGTGAAACTCAGTGGAGAGAACTCATAGTTACAATTTTGGGGGAAAAAAAACATTTTGAGGGAAAAAAAAGGAGGGAGAAAAAGAAAAGGATTATCTAAAATAGTTATATTTGAGCTAATATTCTTCCACTCAAGTCATTCTGACCAGCCCACTACCAGACGGCAGCAATCCTAGGTATTCTGGTATTAGAAGCAAAATGGTAGAAGCATAAGAATCGTCGAAGGTATGTCTGTGAAACTGCACAACATGACAGTAAATCATTTCTGAGATTCACCTTCCTGCTTCTCTTCTACACGCAGGTTTTGACTGATTTTGGTTTTCATGACAATGAAATTTTTTCTCCCCAGGATGGAAAGTAAGAACCTCTTCCTAAGCTTATTGCTCTGCTACAGTTTGCTCAGCGCTGCCGATTCTCACATGGTAATTGAAGAGAAGACAGAATGCAACCTGTCAAAGAACAACAAAATGAATCTCCCAGATCTCCCACCCATCTCCATAGTAGGTTAGTAAAACTTGCCACTTGGCACCAAATTAACAAGATTTGCAGAAGATACGGTTATAGATTAACATGGAGTATTTTGATAGCGTACTACAGCATTGCAATTTAATATAAATACCTTAGTACTATGCAGAAGTGCAATGGCAATTCAGCCACGGCATCCAAGAATGACATTGTGGCAAACCATAGCTTGGAGTAAAACAAAAAAAAAATTACTAGAAAATTTCATTTAGCTTTATAGTTCTTTGCTGCCGCTCCTATCATGCTGTAAGTCTTTTTATATTCAATAGAAGTATTTCTCCATTAATATGGGCATTAATCTTCCTTTTAAAATCTAATGCAAATGAAAAAAGTGAATATGAACATATTCTTTTAGGATCTGCTCTTGCAGCACAGAAATTGACAGTTCTTTGAGGTATTAATATGACCTCAACTTTACATGTATGCCAATCTTAAACCAGGAGAAGAAAAGAGGCAAGAGATGGCCCAAAGTCATCTGTTTATTCAAGACTGGACCAGCTATGTCCCTGCCGTTACTGACAGATGCCTATCTATCCTATTGTGAAGGACCTTATTAGGGCAATGCTTAATTCTTCACTAAAGTTTTTTCCTAATGTCTGTACTAGCTTCTCCACTCTAGCTTAAGACAACTTATTTCTTCAGTCACCTCTTTCAAGAAGCTTTTGACTATTTGGAGATGATTAGATGAAGAATGTCATTCAGGACTGTGTCAAAAGTCTTAAGTCAAAAAATAAAGCTTCTCTCGTTTAATTCCTTTGCACATGTTTTCAAAACTTGTGCTCAAACCAGGTTGGTTTCTTACTTAGTTTTCTTCATTTTCTCTGCACTTTTGCTTCTTTAAGAAGAAACAGTAGTTCCTTAGCTCCTTTTCCCCACACATGCATTTCCAGTGAAACCTGAACCACTGAATCCCTAAGTTAGCTGAAAGTTGTTCTCTTTAACTACAAGTTTTTTAAACTTGCGCTGTTCTCCCTCCTCCCAACCTGGATCATTTCACAGTCCTTGTCATCCTAGATGCCTTCCACCACACATTTTCGATAAATTTTTTCAGGCCGATTAAAATCAAAGATACAAAAATATTCCCTTCAGCTGATTTCTCTGCCATCTCTCAAAACCACGCTCAGTCCTCGAACCTGGCAAACAGCCTATGTCACGCTATGTTCCTTTGCCAGTAGACATCCATGTAGGCAAAAATCCCCTAACTCTATCAAGTCCCTTTGCTTTGGGAGATTCTGTAAGGCTTCCCCAAAAGCCGTCCTCCTTCTCTGCCCCAGTTTGGTTGCCTGCAACAGAAACCTCCTCACCCATCAGCAGAGCATCCATGCATCCTCATCACTCCTCAGCAAACCCAGGCCGTGTAGCCAACAGAGAGATGAAGTAATTAGCCAAGGTGAGAGGAGAAATCCACGGCAGACAAAGGAGCTGAACCTAAGCAAATAGCATTACCCCCAGATCATCTTTGCATACATCCTTTTTGCACGCAAACAGAAGGAAAGTTTGACCTATAAATTGCAAGAATAACAAAAAAGAAAATACACTAAAGCTTAGCATATCTTGTCACAGTACTTCTCTGTAGACCACTGTCCTAGCTAACTATTCCAAAAAGGAAAAAGTAGATGCAAAACCCACTGTAACATTGTTAACCAGGGCTGCAGTCGCTTCCTTGGGCCAAGCGGCATCTGCAAAGCTATTCCAAAGCTTCTCTTCAGCCCGTTCATTCAAACCCAAGTGGCCAGTCTGCTGGGGGAAAGAGCGGAGTCTCGGACACAGCCCTGCACAGGACAGAAACAGGTCAGAACGGGAGCAATAAATGCAAACGGGGGCAAAGGAGCTGGTGAGCCACGTAAAAGTGGGAAGAACAGGCACAGGGGATGCGCGGTAGCAGCTGCCTGGGGACACAGCTAAGCTTACCGGAGCGCCCATCAGCATGATGCTCCGGTAAGCTGCCACTGCTCCCACTGCCTGCAGCCTTAGCAAAACCTGGTGCAATGCTCAGGGATGAGGACGAGGCCACAGGTGGATTTTTTTTAATTTTTTTTTTTAATTTTTGGTTGTAATAACGGTATCACGGCAAAGGGCTCACAAACTGGTCTCTCCCATCACCGCTGCATCGCCACAGAAATAGTTAATTTAGAACAAACCTGAAGGGAGGTTTAAACCACCACCACCTCCTCTCCCCTCCTAATTCATCTAAGCAGTTGGTTTCTTTATGATTTACCAGGCACAATTTGTTGTGCTTACGCATACAACCTATTTTTGTATAAGTTACCTGAAAAAAAAATCCTGTCAGCTGTCAACACCCTGGTTTAAACATTTAGGGTACAGCTTCCTTTCTCAGTCACGTTTCCCTATAACAAGGTCTTGCGGCTTCTAGTTGACCACACGGAACAGTGCTCAGGCACTAATGTTTACGTCTCAATTTTTAAATGTCACTGTAGCCCAGCTAACTAGAGGAATAAAACTCATTTGCAATTAGCTGATTACACACCTGTGAATCAATCGCAGCACTCATGGTATCAAAGGGTGATATGCTTGGCCCAAATTCAGTAAACCCTGAGGCTGGAATTGATTCATGTCTTTAGAAGATAAGCAGAGAATTTGCTAGTGTCAACTAGAGAAACATGCAGTCACCTAATTAGCACGTGTTTTTTTAACACTTCAGATCACAGTTGTATCAACGGGTGTTAGAGGTATGTGTTGTCAACGCTTTTGCAAGTCCATATTACACCTTTTTGTAATTTTAACAGATGAGATTTGTAAAGAGCTGGTTGATTGGTCAGGCGTTGAAAGCAAGGTAGGTGGAACATGAGGAATATGAGATTAGTGGCCAGTTTGGTGAAACCTGGTGTTTTGCCTAACCCAGAGGAACTACGGAAGAGACAATTACGATACTCATCCACCAAAAGAAGCGTTTCTGCAGTTCCGTCTCGCTTGCTCACTGGGTTTTTGGGGTTTTTTTTAACCACATTCTGTGGAATAATTAAAGTACATTTATGTTAAAGCAATGTTTAAATCTCAGTTTAATGACATCATATCCCCTCTACCTGAACATTAGCTAAAAGACTTTACAAGCAAAGCAATGCAGCCAATTTCGACAAGTGCAGCTGTACTATAGAAAACGTGTACTATCCTTGCAGTAGAATTAAATGGCTTACAAGCATCTTCGTTACTACCAGAAAGTTTCAAAGGGCGGCATAATTGCATCTACATGAAATAGCAGGTGGAACCAGATCTAAACCATTAATCCTAGTTAGCACAATGCCCTGTTAAACCATGCTCTTATTAAGTGACAATAACTTCACAGGCCTGAAATATAGTGCATCCTCCCACTGTCTCCTAGAAACAGATCCATAAACCTACCTCTATAATAAAACAAGAATAATAAATGAAAGTCCTTGTAACAGCCCAGAATGGTGTATTTATTCTAAAATTATGCAAATTCTAGCGATTATTAAGTATTCAAAAAGATATATGTAGCAAGTTCTGGAATAAATAAGGAGCCACCATTCGTCTGTGGGCATATAAAAACATTTTATCTCAATCAAACATTCAGTATATATAGTGTTTATCACAAACCTTACATAGATAGAATAAAGTTACAGAAAATACCTTAATAGATTAGTGAGCTGGGAAGTGCCTTGCACTTTAATAAAACAGTCTTGTTGTGTTAGATGTGAATATAAGTCTTAGTTGTGGAGCTAACAGATAGTAATCAGTAATAATAGAGTTAATAAAATAATAAAATTAATATCCCTCAAGAGATAATACAGGACATTCACTACAGTAGTGCTTTAATCTTAAAAAAAAAAAAAAAAAGTTACCTGAAAAAAGTCAGGCATAGTATAAAATTTTCCCCTGTAAAATTTACCAGATCCAAGAATCTATTCACATATTATTCACAAACCCTTCAAAACTACAGGAACATTAATGAAACACTCACCTCTGCAAGTAACATTTTGTAAAACAAGATAGCAGGTAGAAAAGGAACAAGGAACTGAAGAATGAAAGGTGGCATCACATAGATGAAAATTAGCAAAGTGCTTTTTGCGCTTGTGAAAACCAAAGTATACGTGTTAATTTATGCCAAAACTATGCAGGTAACGCTGCCTTTTACAGAACATAAAAACAGATTTCTGAAAGTGTCTTCTGTTTTTTTGCATGTGACTGAAGTGCACAAATACCCTCATCCTTTTACGCAGAGACCCCGAATTTTATTTCTCTGCATCTTATTTCATCACTCACACCTGACCAAATAACACGTGGGAAAAAAACCCTCCTAAAATACAAATGTCAGTGGTCTTCTCTGTGTTTTGCGCCAGCAACAATGACAACACCGGTTCAGACATATTATTTTTAAGTGAGCTGGCTCCCAGGGATGACCTTAACTACAACGCGTTCTGCTGTGGCAATGTGCAGCGCTGAGGTGACAAAGTAGGTCACCTGCCTGCTCTCGCACAAAGGTACCATTAAGCTTCTCAGTTAAATAACATTTGCTGTAAAACTGATTTAATTTTATGTCATGCTATTCTCTTTGAAGATTTAACTAAAAGATCCCAGAAAGTCAGCAGAAAAGAGGCAGAGAACAAGAAATCTTCCAAGGTAGGTGACTGTTCAGAAAACATTGTCCAATTAGCGTGGCTAACTTCTAACACTTTTCCTCAGTGCATTCATTTGACAGGTTTTCACAGCCCTCTCCTGATTTAAATAACTTGCATACATTTCAGAGCTCTTAATACTGTAAAAACAGATGCAAAGCATTAGTGGTAGGAAGAAAACTAAGTGATCTTAGACTAGTTATAGGTTATTGTTGCTCTACAGCCCTCTCTTGCACAAAACAATAGCTTCACCTAGAGCTGTTTAAAGTATTTGCAAACCTGTTTAAAGTATCTGCAAAATAAAGATAACCCACGACGCAGGTTGACTGTACAAGTCTCGGGCACAGAGGCATAAACTCACTGTCTGTTGATTTGAAACTGCAGGTGCAAGAAAGCTGAAGTGGAGGCATCCAAGGGAGTTGGTATTTGGTTGAAAATATTAACTAGCAGTTTTATTGGCTCAAGAGATTAAGATTGATGGATTTGCTATTTGACATAATGTTCCTTATAGCTGTCAAACATGAACTATTACATGGGCTGGACTCCTATATTCTAAAGACTATCTGAGAGGATATAAAACAGCATTTTCATTTTATTATTATTTATCATTATAGACATTTATAGCCAACTCAGTCATTGCTGCAGCTAGAAATATTTAGGGCTCCTTTTCCTTTTTAATTTGTGTCTTGTGTAGTCAATCTTCCTTGAAACACTTTCTGATTTCGTAGGAAGATTCAGGTTGGAAGGGACTTCAGGAGGTCATTTAGTTCCACCTTCTGCTCAAAGGAGAAAATTCTTGCGATTAAGCTTTATCAAAGCATTTTCTCCTAAAGCAAAACAATTTGTAGCTTACAACTGAAATTTCTGAGAACAACTAAAAAGTTAAAAAGGGAACAGAACACCTGCATGGCCCCAGAGGTCTGGCCCAAGCCCCAGGCACATGCTGATCAAGCCGAGGTTTTCCCCCTTTCCCACCCATACATAAAGAAGCAACACTTCTCAGGCAGGCTAGATTTTTTTCAGCCCACTTACCCATGACTGCAATTAAGGATGCCCATGCACAAATCTGACGCACAAAGGATTGCCTAATTCCAAAAGCAGTCAGACAAGCAAACCACGTGAGGTAGGCTATTGGCAAATCATTTGCCTCAGCCTCACAGCTCATAAAACAAAGTGGATACCAACCCCACAGATTGGCAGGGAGGTTTCATTCTTTCATTTGAAAAGTTTTGGGATCCAAGAGTAATTCATTACTTTGTTTTACCTATAAGAACGTTGTCTTCTGTGAAGACTGAGTCCTTTTCATTGCTAGCACAGCATCATTCCATACAGAGCATTTTCCAAAGCTTTATCCAGTCATGTTTCTAATTACTCAAAATACGGGGCTCATGCCATCTTTCATTTCCCTTGATAGGCTGATCCTCAAGACAGCGTTTCCCATATTCCAGTCCCATCATGTCAATTCTTTATCGCTACTACTATAGGGTCTCACTACTAGCAACTGCCTACTGATCTCAAGCCAGAAGTTCCCATGGTTCATTTTCTTTGCATCTATTTTTAACTCCCACCCATACTGGTTTTACGGTAGTATGAATTTTCATGTGTTTCTTCCAGAAAAATGCTGAACACCCACACCTGCAGCCAACTGTGTGCCAAATTTCAAAACCTGCAAACCATACTTGAATTCATGTTGTAACTACTGTGCCTTGTGCAAATGCCGAATTTTTCAGACCATCTGCCACTGTCTACTGTTAAACCCAAAGTGCTAAGCCAAACCAGGAACACATTAAGGCTTCTGTTTTTCATTAGCTTCCCAAGTGTGTATTTCAAACAGTCTCATGCACTGCAATCAAATTAGAGCTTTGAAGCTGCTAGGTTGGAGTTGCCCCTCCTAAAACTAAATGGACAATAGGGTTTTTTTCCCGGGGTTAATGTTATCATAAACAGGATGGTTTTTAAGGGAGCACACAGCCAGGGAGATGGACAACGAACAAGTATTTTTGGCAAAAGCGACCTGCATTTTAAGAATCATCCTGGGTTTTTTTCTGAAGGGTAATACTCACCACAGGCTGCAATATTGTCTAACCAGAACTGCAAAACCTGCACCAACAGTGTACAAATAGCCACACTAAAATGGTACTGGTTAATCCAGTGACGAACAAAGCTTGGGTTTGCCCACAAGGACATCACCGCACAAGCTCCTGACAGAACCAAAATACTAAGCTGAAAATGCAGGTTTCAGGTTTAACTCCCCCCTTAGACATTCAGCAAAAGTTAGGACTAGAATCTACATAAATTATTCTACCTAGAAAAACAGACCCAAAACAGTAAGGCAATTTTGTAATTACCTCTACCTGAGCATCAATACTAGTATATCCACCTCCAGGGTTTCCAGTAGTCAAGATCTCCAGGGTGTATAATCTACGTGCATATTCTAACCTGAATGTATCTGTGCCTCATGACTTGAAAATGAGAATTTTTTCCCAGCCATATCCATAAGAGAGGAGTCCCTGGCACTTTGTCTCCTGCTGCCCTAGACACAGTGCATGCCATTTCATTTAGAGCCCAAGAGCAGAAACACATACCCAGGACTTAGAGGAAGAAGGGAAAGACCAGCAAAAAATAAATGGGTAGCCCATATGTACAATTTGAAGAAAACTGTTACAAGCAATCTTTCTTTCTTTGAGACCACATGTACTTTCTCACAATGGGCAATTCCCAGCACCTACCCTAAACATTAATTTAGCTGGCAAACTTCACACAAGCAGTAACTGCAGAAAAAATAATCAAATGCTGCATGAACCCTTGAAGTGTCAGAAATAGCTCTGCATTTAGTGAAGGTATGAATTAAGATCTAGGTAGCAGCATATAGGTGTCTAGAACCAAGATATTTTTCTCTCTGTCTTGAAGATCCAGTCTTGAGTTGTCTCTATCTTGAGTTGCCTCAATCTTGAGTAATCCACGATGGCACAGTTGGAAACCCCTCCTTTGCCAAAGTAGAAGGAGATATGTGGTAGATCATAGGAGAAGGGAGGAGCAGATCTGGAACCCGTTTCCAGCACTGAAGAATTCTTCTGCCACACTGCAGCTCTGTTGCTTTTTATCTTCTCTTCTGTATCTACAATATTCTCTCTCCCCACTCCTTTATAGTCGTCTTTCTTCTGTGGTTCTTTCTTGATTTTAGTCTTTTCCCTTTCTCCCACTGTTATTGCCAGTCACTTGGAGAGTCATCTGCACTCGCAGTGTTTAATCCATATCTTTGTGTTCACTCTGCCTGCCTGCTAAATGACTGCACCGGAGTTCCTGCCAATGCCTTTTTGTTTTCACAATCATATACTTTCTAATTATGAATTTCTGATCAGAGTCCTGACTTTTCTAATGCTCTGTGCAAGTCTAATTGGGAGAACATTTCTTTACTGATTTATTGCTAAGCACAGCTAAGGGCTACAAAGTGTTCCAGGCAGGCAAAGACAACATAGGTTATACAAAAAATCTGTAAAGTAACTCAAATGATATATACTTTTGTCTTCTAATATATTTACAAAGACCAGAGCTCAAAATATAGGTCAGATGTTGACAAAAAATGTCTATCCATCTTCATAGAGATGAATAAAGTTGACAGAGAGATTCATCTGAGAAAGCCTAAATAATGGCAGAATGTCATTGCACTCAGCTTTTATAAAATGCATCAGCTGTCATACATGATGCAAGCTTGGATTCTTTTAAATGTACATAGGTATTTCTTTTAATCACACACCTTGGCTCAGGAATCCATAAGCCATTCAGTTATGATAAAAAGAGGAGGAACAGGAGGAAGAATGACATACACTATGATGGTCCCATGGAGCAGAATTTAGCACCTTCTTCAACTAAGGAAAGCTGCAAGTTCCTGTCAAGGTGTTTCAAAATACTGTTTCCAAAGACTATCAAAAAGTGTCCTTGGTTGATATTAAAATCATATTAATCACACACCAACTTCTAAAGTGGAAATGAAATCGTTCTTATCAGAATAGCAAGATAGCCAGAAAATTGTATTTTAGTGGCAGCGGGAGGGGAGCAGAAGGAGAGGAAAAGGAAAAGAAAAGAAGCAGAGCTGGAAATCAAACAGAACAGCCCATGTGCCATCCTCTACACAGCAGCTCCCACTCCAGCATGTGGCTGTCAGCTAAGGAAACGGAAAGTGCTGACAGCCACAATGAGGGGCCTGAGATATGGAAGCTGAACCAAGGAAGTGCAGGACAGTCCATTTCCGCAATGAAAGAAAAGGAAGGGTTCTTTCCTGTGAGAATGAGGGGGTTTGCTTTTAAGCACATACTTTTTAATATAGCATTTATACGTAGTGCATTTTGACAAATTTGGTTATAAGCCTTTTTTGTAACTGGAATTGCTTAGAAAGATTATGCTTACTTTGCCATTCATCTATCACACCAAAGAATATATATAATCAAGTACTCTGAAATTGTTGTTGGCCTTAATGACTTTACTTTTTCAGTTATAGATCACGCTGCATGAGGTATTAATAGGATACAGAAATCAGTAAAACATGTACACCTACTATATGTTTCCTGTGTTTAGTTTGAACAGATATTTATGCTAGTTTTTTGTAAGAGTTCCCTAGGGAACCTATCTGAAATGTCATCAGCACACAGGCGATAAAATGTATGCATGGCAAAGATGGAGTGTTTAATTTTCAGTTGCCACATGTCAAAATGTATTCAATGAAATCTCTTTGGAACCCAAGCACAGAGGCAGACCCAATAATGCTCCAAGACACAGCCTCATTCTGTTCCTAGAGATTAATGGAAGTTTTACCCTGATTACAGCCAAGTAGAATTCAGTACAAATAAATCACTTAGCTTTTCCAAATATCTTGTGTGAAATTAAAACAGATACAGTATTTTCCATCCAAAGTCCTGGTCTGATGGCTTACTGTCACTCTCAAAGACTATAAAATATAAGTTTACCCTAACGAACCCAAACTAGCAGAATTAACATCTTGACTACAGCAGCTTCAAACACCCAAGTCTCCCAGGCTAATGCTTGAAACCATCTGGAAGACCCATAAAGGAAAGCAAAAACTTGTCATGTCAGTCTCTAGGATCTTCTCACAGAAGAAATAATTTGATGGAAGGCAGAACAACTTTTTCCAAGCTCTAGAGATGAGTCAACAGTATTTGTGATGCTGCTTTGTCTAAGGTTGCCGAAAGATTTAATAAAGTCCCTCTGAGGCATAGAGACAGCGCCAATTTCATGACACAATGAATAAAAGCAGAACCAGATGGAGACTTGTATGGGCAAACAAGTCCAAGGAAGGACTTGTGCATACCTTACTCAAAGCTGATTTTAAGTGAGCTATATTTTATGGTGCAAAAATATATATCTTATTTCTACAGAGAACATGCTCCTTGGAGCACTGTGAAACACACTGTTCATGGGACAGTACAGCCGTGGGGTCTCTCTATGAATGGGTGTTGATATTAAACAACATCTAAAGACAATGCAAAAAACATCCCATCATGAGATTTTAAGTCAAAGCATTTCAAGCTAAACTAGACCATTCCATGGCCAGAAGTGATTTTATAACATGTTAAATAGACCAATACAGCACTTGTTCACCACCAATGTCCTATTTAACTCAAAGAGACAACTTGCATGAGCAAATATTAATCACGACTCTGAGTTGCAGAATCAAGGCTGAAAATCATTAAAAGAATTCCCCTAACATAAACACATGAGCACTTCCCATTTCTTTCTACCTGCCTCTGAGCTTTGAGCTGAAGTCCTACTGGACAGCCTTCTCCACACAATGATCTCCAAGTTCATATCCTCAACCTGAGGAGAAAAGGCATGGAATGGCCCACTATGGTCGCTGCATTTTAAAATTCTCCACTCTACATTGTTTTAATTTTCATTTCATCCATAGCCAGTCTCTACTAGATATTTTTCAATGGCATCAGCAGCTCCACTCAATACAGATAAAGCACAAAGTTTGGGACATACACACTGGAGCCACAACACGTATTTCCTCCCTGTCTCTTAGTAGCTCCTCAAGCCTGTCAAATAGAAGAGACATTATAAAAAAACAAAAATCCTGTAGTTCTTCATAGAAGCTAGACATAGCTAGCTACCGGAGCTGTAGTAAAACCCCAAAACTTCAGTAATGGCACTTCTGCGAGAAAATTCTCCTAATCCAGCAAAATACAGGGAAAGCGTCTTTCTCTAGTTAAATTTTTTTTGGTAACCGCTATTACTGTTCTGTAAGTAGCAGAACTTGTATTACACAACAAAAAGATAGCACCTGCTGCAAAGAGCTCTAGATTAGATGCCCTGAGATGCTGATAGCTCCTCTAAAATATTGAATACTTGCAGTTTCTATAGATTCAACGAGATGTTGAGGATCCTAAAGTTAGCAGAAGCTCGCAGCACTGGCTTCTTAATTAGTTATTTCCAGTGCATTAAACAATAACAATAGTGATAGAAGTTTTATACCATGAGAGGATTTGGTGGAATTTTCTTCCTCTTCCTCAGCAAACTACCCTGATCTGAGGGACAAGACAGTAAAAGGCCAGTCCTGCATGTAGGGCTAGTTCAGGTTTTTCTGTCATTCAATTCTCCCTAATCAAAAAGGGTATTTTCTGCTTCTTCCACAGTTATATTTGAATGACTGAAGAAGAGAGACATGAAAATCAGTCCCTGTATTTTTATTTTTCTAATGAATTTTCACAAAAGGAGTTCTGCAGCATAAATATAAGCGTCCAGTATCATCTTAGACTTCTTAGGGTA